ACAATAATAATTGAAAAAAACCCCGTTAAAACGTAAAATTTAAAAAAAAAAAATCCCACAAATTTTTTTTTTAAAAAAACAAAAAAAAAAAAAAAAAAAAAAAAAAAATGTTCAATATTTTCTTTTTTATATGGCTTATGTTTGATGTCTGTGCACGCACATATATGTAAATGACAGGGATGACTTCTTTTTTTTTTTTTTTTTGCATAAGTATAAAAGGAGTAAACTTATTATTATTCATGTTATGTTTTCTTTTCAGAGTGATTAAAATATCTGTATGACTTCATTTTTCATAGTATATCGACCTTCTCATCATTATTATCAATTAAAATAAAAAAAATTATATTTTTTTCCTCTTGGACAAATAAAGTGTGCTTATACCTATTTGTTTCTATTCAAATAAAAACATAAACCATAAGATTTTCCTTTTTTGACTCGTGCACGAGTTAATGAGAACACCTTTGTAAGAATGAATGAAAGAATGTACATTCGTCAAAACACAAATATACAAATATTTAAATTATAGAAAAAAATCACTATACATAACTTTGATACAAGATTATTTACTGAGAACTTATTTGTGTGAGTTATTTAATAGTTACCTATGAGATTTTTTTAATCGTGATTGTTGCACCATGAAATTGCAGTTTTGTTTACAATCACCATGAACTGTGATGGATCGATTAGTCGATCAATCAAACCAAAATCTCATGGGGAATATCTTTATTTGTATAAAAAAAGAATTTATTTTAGAATTTAACTCTTTTATATTATATAAAAAATGCACAATTTGATTTTTATGTTTTTAATCCAAATATCTATTCAATTTTACAGCCTGTGACACAAAGTAAAAACAATTTTTTGTGCTTCTTATCAAAATGTTGACTATTGAAATAGGATTGCTCAAAAAATTCAAAAAAAATGAAGAATTTTACCTTGAACAGAAAGTATCCGAATTTTTTGTTTTGACAAAATGTCATCCTAGAAGAGCACTATTTTTATGAAATTAAATGACTTTTATACATCGACACATGTTTCATTTGTTTTCATCTAGTTTTTAATATGAATTTCATGAATTCAATTTGAAGAGAGAAAGAATATTGACTACTGAATATGGTTTGAGGTTGTTTTTTTTATCGTTACCTATATATTTAAGTTCACTTTCATCATTATCCAAATCAGCATGGTGGCAATATAATATAGGTATCAATATTTTTGATCCCCAAATTAATTAGTAGACAAATAACAAAAAGAATATAAAGAAAATATATACAAGAGGAAGAACAGAAGTTTAATTTAATTTCTTTTCATTTTAATTCTTCTTAGATAATTTTAATGGTTTTATCAAATCTTTTTATATTTTTAAATAAATATTTTTCCTTCGTAATAAACTTTATTTATTTAAAATTAAATTAAAATATACAAATTGAACAAAATTTCCTTTTGTTTAATAATACATAGGAATTTGTGCACATACATACAGTAGATGACAAAAACTGTATCATGACAGAGCATCTTTAACTTTTTATACTATCTGTTTCTTTCATAATCTAGGAAATTCTTGCTTTGTGCAAGTTACAAAATTTAAAAGAAAAAGAATAAAGAAAGAAAGAAAACCAAACATGTAGAAGATTTATATCTTAAGAGGAAATTTCTTTAGACTGAACTGTAAAGACAACTAATATTTAAACTAAAATGGGATAGAGCTCATCAAACATGATGGAGAAAACTCTAAAAAGTCAACGGTTGAAGTTTCTTCAAATTTTATTATCAGCAATTGAAGTTGCCGTCATCTACTGTATGTATGTCAGAAGTTCCTATGTATTATTAAGGATATTCCTCTCCCTCTTTTTTGCAGAAAAGTTTTCATTTTGAGTTGAACATAGTCTAATGTAGAGGAAAGTCTGGGCTATAAAACGAGACCATTCCCAGCTCTCCACGACCTTCCTTGAAAAAATTATGAAGTTTTTAAATTTTTCATTCAAATACGCATAATAAAGTAACAGCAGTAATCTTCATTTTATTATGCGTATTAAAATTTTTGCCCATTCATAAAGAAAATTTTCATTCAAAGCCTAGAAAATCTCAATTTTTTAGGTTCGTAAATTTTTCTCTCCTTTCCTATGTATTCAAAAATTTTTCCTTATTTATAGCATGATAGAAGAAAGGATGCTCTTCAAAATGAGATGTTTTCCAGAACTTTCCGATCAGTTTTCGTGGAGATATAAGCATTGCTGCAAATGCCCTGAAAAACAGAGCTCTGTATACAATATGTGTTTTTCTTACTATGCGTTTTTTCGATAGTCTCTTCAATCCACTCACATTACGACCTCTCGAAAAATGGTCTGATCGAGCTCAAATTTTTACCACAGATACTTCAAACTCTATCTTAGGTTCTAAATTTTTCTTAAGCGTTGTCGACTTCAACATTCGGTTGGAAAAGTTTTAAAGGAAGGTTTTTAAAATAAAAACCCGGTTTTTTATACAGGATTTTTGGCATTCTTCAATATCTCAAGAAGGAAAGCATATTTTTCAGAAAAAAAATTTAGAACCTGAGATAGAACCTAAAGTATCTTAGATAAAAATTTAAGCTCGATCAGACCATTTTTTCGAGGGGTTATAATGTGACCGGATAAAAACTGAAGTTTTCTAGAAAATCCATAGAAGAACATGTCAGAAAATTCTGGGCAAAAATACATGTAGTTTCTCTTTCGATGTTCTATCTCTGCTATAAATTTGAGCTCAATCGGACGTGTGCTCCACATTTGGCAACAAGGTAGAAAAAGAGGGGGGATACCCTTAAACAAAAGAAAATTTTGTTCAATTTGTGTATTTTAATTGTTTGTATCCACTGACGATCTAAGACGATCAAAAGAAACTAAAAGAAATTAAATTAAACTTCTCTTTTGTTCATATTTCTTGTTGTATTTTCTTTAAATTCTTTTTGTTGTCTGTCTACTAACTAATTTTGTGATCAAAACACATTTTCCCCATATAATATACTGCTATACTTGTGCAATGTGCCATCCAAAAGAATAAAAAAGAACTATATGTCCTCTACACTCTCAGTAAATTGATTCAATAATAAATATGATTATTCTACTTGTTAAGTTATAGTTTACATTTTATTTTTGTAATCTAGCTCATTTTATATTTAACAACATTCAACAGAACAATTTCAAATTTTAATTCATTTCTGAAAAATTGTTATGCATAGCATCCAATAATTTACTGATATTATATGATGTAGAAGTGCTTGCATCGAAATCAGAGAATGATCCTTTATACGTAAAGAGTTTGGACTTTTGCTCATTATTGTATTCTTATCGAGACTCGTCCTTTTTTTATAATTCATAAATAAACTATTTATTTATCGTTTTGTAACATTGGAAAGGACACGAAACAAACATATATACTTCGATAGATAAAACTTTTCACATTTGTACATTTACTGATTTGTTTTCTGTAAAAGAGCACATTTTACAGAGGTAAAAAGTTGTTTTATTTTTCAAGAAGATTAATTACATTTAATTTCCAATGTGGGATTCCTAAGTTAAAATGAATTTTGCTTAAATCAAACAGTTCTGGATTTCTTAGTGCTCTAGCGGAACTGTAATTTTTACTTCAGCTTGATTTACATACATATGTCGTATATCTGTATTTTTTCGCTCAAATAAGAGTTTGTCTGAACTGTGAATAACATATTCAGGCAAAATAATCTAAACTGACTTTCTTTGTAAATCTTTTTCGGCTTAATGAACATTTTTAAGATTATCGAAAGGGATTGTTGTGCTCACGATCATCGATTTCATATTTCTGAACGTTTCAAAACACGTCCTTTAATGTTTAAAAGTGATTAATTAAATTAATGTTTAAAGTAAACGTTAGCGTCCCCTATGAAGCTTGATAGCCTATTTTTCTTGCCTTGGGATACTCCGAATTTTAAATCTAAATAATGTTTCACAGTTGGGAAGTCAAATGTTTTCATGATACAGTTAGATATTTTGAATGCTAAAGGATGAGCTGTACCTTATCGGCTTCCACTTTTATCTCATATGTAGAAGACTCATAGTTTCTATTTACCAAATATTTTGGAGATAATACTTGAATAAAAATAAATCAAGAGCAGAACTAAACTCATTGAAATATGTGCTTTTTCAATATATTCAAAACCACGGTTCAAGCCTATGTGATAACCGCCTATGTTTGTTAATGTAGGTGAACGTTTGCAAGTAGAAGGAGAATTGATGAAACACTAAAACACAAAAAAGTCTTTGAGAATATAGAAACTCAAATAATACTAACACCGGTCAAGATAAGCTTTTATTAGGCTTTCTTTCATTGAGCGTTGGCCTACCCTGATGACTAAATGTATTGGTTTTTAGTGTCACTAAAGCATTCAGAAGTTTAAAAAGTCAGACTCAAATACACTGAGTGAATGTTTTTGATTTCGATGAATATATCAGTAATAGTACTTAGGCAGAAGACAGAAACATGTGGAAATCAAATGTCATTTGAAGCTTGTTTAAATTTGAAATCTTCGTCCAGTGAATTTGAGTCTCACTTTTTAAACTTCTGAGCGCGTTAGTGTCACTAGAGCCAATGCATTTAGTCGTCAGCTCACGGATCACGCTAGTATTAATGTGATTTACGTTGATTCTGGCGCTCAATAACATATTTTGTATCAGAGCTTCGACCAATGATGCTACGTATGTGTCACCTCCGTTTTTGTATTATTTCTATTTTTTTGATAAAACGAATTTAATTATAAAAAGTAAGAATAACGTAAATAAATAACTTTTTTTTCTTCTAATGAAAATATCTGTTCGAGCTATTTCAAAAAAAAAATATTCAAAAGTAAGGGACCTCGGAGGTACAAGTTTAGTGAAAAAAAAAGATGGTTTGTTGTCATTTTACGACGCTGTCATTGCAGATCAAATGACATCCTTAAATTCTATCCATAAATCTCTACTGTCAACGTTAAAGTCGCCACCTTTACGTTGATAGTGGAGATTTATGTATAGAATTCACGGATATGGATGGCTCCATCTGACCGTTATTGTAGCTTATCTGACCACGTGGATTACATAATAACATTTCTTCTTTTTCTACATTCTATAGTATGTTCTTCCTCTCTCCATGTGGCTTGTCGTTTCACAGAACGTAGACTATTTACCACAATTATAAGCTATCAAATGTTGTGAATCATTCGGACTAGTCATACTAGAATAGAGAAAGAGCTGAGATTGCTAAATAATGAGTTCCACCGTTCTGTAGCATTTCTGAAGTTATCTGTTCATCAAGAACTTGTTCTGTGGGCGAAATCTTGTGCAGTTTCTTCGATGAATCTAATCGGATATACTTTTTGAGCTTTGAATAAAGTGTCCGTGTACGGAATGAAGGGACTAAATTGTTTGAACATTTCAGATGTAAAACAACAAGTTTTCAAGCGTTTTCAAATATCTTTTCTACTTTAATTTTATTATTTTCTATTGATTTATTAATCGTTCTTATCAAGTTGCATGTTTTTCACTGTGTTGAAAGACGACAACAGTATTGATACTGGTCGTTGTTTGCTATGAATGAAAATTTCATTGAAGACGACATCGACTACGACGACGACATTAATAATAGTGTCAAAGAACTTATTCAGTCATTAGTTACTCGTGTATCATTTTCACCGATTGTTGATCCTGTTTACTTGAACGAATTTTATCAAATTCAGAATTCAACTGAAACATTATTTATGGGTCCAGTAACTATTCTAAATTGCTCTATTCGACAGTTATTAAAATTTGAATTTAACACTGCTATAAAATCTACAAATTATTCAACATTAACATTTCCTACTGATCATGTACCATCATCAGCGCGATTTAATCGCACTAGTCAATCAACAAAACAATATCAGTTTTATCAGCAATTAAATAAACGACTCGAATGGATTCAACAACGAAAACATTTATGTAAGCAATTAAGTACTGAGAATAATCTCAAAACTAGAACTCGGACGACCTCGACGAATAATAATTCGGAAATGTATACCGATCATAATAAACAACAAATAGATATATCCAGGTCAACGATCAAGTGAGTTCTTCTATAAAAAAGTAGAATCCTTCTATTGTTTTGGATTTCGTACATAGTCTGATAAAGTATTTCGATCAGTATAAAGTTTTTGATAGAGAGCTATTTGAGAATATTATATGTTCATGTTTGGTGATATCTGAAATGGAATCATTTTTTTCAGCTCTTTGATATCAATTGAGTCAGATTGGATTCGTCAACGTTTGAAATTAATTGATCATACGTTAGCCCAATTGAAACGACCAAACGATAATGATACAACAGCGAATATTTCTGAATATGATAATTGTGCACGATGTCGAATTTATGAAACAGAACAGCCGTTAACAAAAAAATATAAACCTGCTAAACAAAGACAACAAAAAGACAGGAAATGTCAAACAAAAGAAACTGCTGCTGATTTTCAATTACAACTTGATCCGGGTAAGTTTAAATATGCACCTAATAAAATTTTAGAGTTGTGGGTTTTTCTTCTTCATTTTTGTTTACAAACCTGGCTTTTTGTCAAGGGGAAAAAAGCAGACTTAAGTCCAGTTATAGACTTTTAAAGTCCACCAAAATTCACGTAAGTCCAAGGATTTACGGGGATTTTTAACAGCTGACGTCAATTTAGATGAATTCTTCTGGTCTTTACAGAGTTTATTAGACTTGAAAAGGTCCATTACTTCGATAGACTTTCTAAATCCATTACAGTCCCAAAGTCTGCTTTTTCCTCCTTGCTTTTTGTTCTATTAGGTCTTGAATGAAACTAATGTTGAATGACTCGTGAATAGCCTACTTTCTTCACGAATGCTAGGTAGCTTATCAAAATCAAACATAAAAAGTGTACAGGATACTCATAAGGGATTAAAAGTCCAATCTAGATTAGACATAAGATCTTCGACTTTTTATTCAGATTAAATCTGAATTTAATCTGATAAATAAAAAATCTGATCTAAATCTGATTGTCTAATTGGCAGGTGGGATTGTAACTCTGGACTTTGAATTATGACAGTATCGACGTTGAGTTATTTATGACTATTTTTATTTTTTGGCTTTAAAAGTACAAGATTAGGTTTCTAGAAGTGTTTGAGAGCGTATTAGAAATCTAACAAATAAAAAATGTATTCGCATTTGATAGTTTGTTTCTGTATTCTCTTACATCCCATGCTGTCTACAATGCTGTATTTATACAGTTAGATAGTGCAAAAGAATCCAGACTAGACTCTCTGTTGATAAAAGAATTTTTTGCCATTCTGGACAGATGGACTGGCAATAGGGACTGAGTACAAACTTCTGATAGTGCTTTTCTTTCTTGAATACTCATCATTTGTTACATGACATTTTTCTTTACTTGCGTCTGCTGTTGTTGTTCAGCTTTAGTAACAGTTAGCTGTATGGTGGTTCAATACTAGCAGCTGTTGTGGAGCGATTTTATCAAGAAATGTTATAACAATCATACTCTGTTTTTAGAATATAATATTATTCTGTCATTATCAAAAATAGCTGATCGAATCGGTCATGATTCCAGTAAATGTAACGGAGAAAAAATGGAGACAAATGAGGCAAACTCGTTGTCACGTACAAGTATGTCCACAAAGAAATCTTTGAATTAATCTGAACTTGAACTTAGTTGTTTTTATTTATTTATTTCAGCTCGAAAAACTAAACAGCGTATTATAAATACGCTACTACAAGCAACAAGCACAAACGATCTCTTGAGAACATCAAGTAGAACACAAAGTTCTGAAAGTCAAACAAATTCAAACAGTAGTAGTATGGATATCAAACGGAAGGGAACATGTAAGAAAAATACGTCACAAATGTTGTTATGAACTCTATTCGAGAAAAGAAAGAGGGGAACCCATTATAGCATTTTGTTTTGTTCATACATAAGAAGAGTACATAACTGATGAGCTACAGTACATTAGTCAGCGAGAAGGTTATTTCGATTCAGCTGGTATAGTAGACATTCTAATAGAAAACGCTTTAGCCTCAAGCACAAAACTTCGAAGCGTATAAATTTCTGTGAAACAAATCAAAGCGAAGTGGAGAGACGTACTTTTACAAACTGTTATTGAATCTAGGCCATTTGTAACACGCAAAAATAGAATTTATTTATAGCTATGCGAAAAAAATGTTAATTTTGCTATTTGCTGTAGATCAATCGGAAGTACATCCTATTGACTTACATCCACGAACGAAAGTATTTTGCATTTTTGTGTATGTGCACGAAAATTATTTATTTGATCTCTATCTCTTGAACGTAACGTGATACTTATCATTTGTTGTTGAGAAATGATGGAATGAAAGATAGCTCCAGAACAGTTGTAATAATTCATCTGATATTCCCTTTTTCTCAATTTGTAATGTATACCTGAGTATCATACTCTATTGAAAGTGTTTCTGAAAAATCAAGAAATACAGAAAGGGTAAAGTTACCACAATCTAGATTCTTGCCACTCTCATAAACAAGATCTGCTAGCCGCCCTCTGATTAAAACGGCAATGAGATGACGTTAAAATTTATGCTTTTTTAACATCTATAATTTGGTAAAAACTAACCTCTCAAGAACTTTTGACATGATAGGTGGCAAGCTAATCGGTCTCTAATTTGTGGAAAGAGTTGTTGAATCGAGCCACATTTCGGTTACAGAAATGAGAGAAGGTCTTGGTTCGTTACACAATACAGATACCAGGTTAAACTTTGTCATGCTACTCTTTGGGTCTTATCGCATTTCGTTGGTATACTTCTCATATTAAGAATCAGTGTCTCTATTGGACCTGCCACACTAGCTGTTATTTTTTACTCGATCAACCCATGATCATCGTGATGACGGTTGAAATAGTAGAATAGAGAGAGGATTAATGCACTTAATGATCAAGTATTTTAAAAATATCAGTCACAAATGTTATTTGATATCTTTAAAATACTTGGTTTTCTACTTCTTTTCTATCGTAGTATAGCTTTAAAATGTAATATTGTTTACTTTTCTTCTAGCCTCACCGTGTATCAACCCTCTTCCTTGTCCGTTACTTCAATCATCTTTTTCTACAACATCTCACAATAGTAATGAAATATTAACACCATTATGGCGGGGATTAACGTCGAAAGATTTAGATTTATTTACTTATCATTTAAATGATGATTTTGAAGATGTTTCCGATGATTCTTATATTCATCGACATTTACATTGTGAACAAGAACAAGAATTATGGCTTCATGATCCATCAACATCATCTTCGCACACTACCACATCTCGACAACATTCATCTTCTACGTCAAAACTAAATGGTTCACATTCAGCTGGTGAACTTACAAATCATAAACAACAGCACATATCTCATGTAATAAATAATTCACAAACATCACAAAAACGAAATCAGACGAGTAACAATCAAACTCCTAGTTACAGATATCGTTTGGCAGCAAATGGAGTTGCATACACTGAAACTATCGAAAAAGAGCCTGATACTTTATAGAAAAACATCTATTCACGTTATAATCTGTTGAAATCCCGGTGATTCGAGAATTTTGCAAACGTTAACATGCAGAGATAGTGTTCGAAATTGAATAATAGGTTTAAAGGAAACTCGCTAGAAAAGGATAGAAAGAGTGTTAAAACGCTTTTTTTATTCAATAAGCTGATTGATGATGTCATGGCATATTGACAGGCAACAGCTGTTTGAACAACAATTGACGACACTTTTTCTTGAGATTGTTTTTAAAATCTATTGTTTTCTCTCAGGAATAAATCACTAGTCGATTTTTCTTTTTTCATTACCACTTTGAAATAAGCCAGGCGAGTCGGTATCGTATTGCACTCTTCCTGTGTTTTATTTTTATAGTCATAAACAAACAAAAGTTCTGTGCGCTGTGCGCAATCTTTTTTCATCAAATTTCGTTGTTTTTTCTAACTTACTCCTTCCTATAATTGTGTTTTCTGTTGTTTTTCTTGTTATGATGTACATATTTTATTCTTATATATATATATATATATATTCAGTCTGAAAACAAACAAGTAATACGCATATAACGTTGTTTTTGTGTGTGTATATGTACAAAATTATTTGTTGTTCAAAACAAATGTATCCCTGTATTTAGTAGATTGTTATACAGCTCATTTTATGAAGATTAAAAAAACAATTATAATAAAACAAAAATCAATCTCTTAGCCTATAGTTGTAAATGCGAACATACATGAATATTCACAGGATTATGTGAAAAAGCAAGTTAATTTATTCTCTAAAAATGATGATACAATTATATTTAGTTATCCATGGCATTTGATAATCTATCTGTTTTCTCATTTTAACATTAACAAGAACACTAATAAAAAGTGATCTTTAGATACTCTCTCTCTAGTTCAGAAGGTAAAAACGCTTTTTTTAATGATTTAATAAAAATTTGAAGAATAGATTAGTGTTATTATTATTAGTACTATAGAGGAAAAATGCGCCTCGACTGGGACCTGTAACCAGAGGATTCTGGGTGAAGGATTTTCCCTTTGTAGTACTAAAAATAAAATCTTATCGCGATTTATGTTCCGCTTCAAAACGTATATAAAACTATATATAGATTGATGTTTGAATGTAATCATTGGTGCACATTGAACGGCTATCTACAATTGAAGTTGAACTTTGTTTCTAATGCATTACATTTACTTAATATAATCAAAATAATCAACTATAATTTCTAATTTTATTAAATATAATCAACAATATAATATCAGTTAGTCACACTAAAAATTGAAAATTTGATTATATTTAGATATTGAAGTACATTTTTTGTTTTAGATATAGATATTAAACAAACTATTCCATCACCCTTGATTACATCAAAATATTGTCAAACTATTAAAAATTTTTTTCGAACAGTCACTCAAAAATACGAATGAACAATGTCAACAACATCAAGAAAATTTAAATTTAATTATTTTAAATAGGTGTGAAAAAGTACAATTGGAAAATGAAACAAGTTACAAGCCTTTTTTATTTTTCTAATATATAACAGAAATAGATATCTGTTGACCAACTTTTAATAAAGACCTACATTATACGCCGTACGGTAGCCAAGAGTTGAAACGATAAACTAATGGAAAAAACAAGTTCAACTATTAATGATATGATTTTTTTTCTCTAAAAATATCTCTGGAAGACAAAAACTTTTTCCAACTTACGAATGAAACCTTCCATGTGTTAGATGAACGATTATAATTGAAATTATTATGTCCAAGGGAAAGCTTCATCATAGAACTTTTTCCATTCAATTAAAATTCTGTAGTACAAATATGAGTATGAAAGCAGCCATGATTGTAATCATGATGATTGTGTGTTTGTGGAAAAGTAGTCATGGAGATGGAAATTATTTTTGACACATTTCTTCAAACATAATGGTGTTTAATGAAATGATTTGTTTATATAACGTACAAAATTATCATTTCAAGATACCTTTATTATTTTGAAATGATCATGAAATGATCACAACTAATCTGAGAAATTTATCTCAAAAATGTTTAATTGATGATTTCAAACATATTTATTTCTATGCTCAGTTGTATGTTTTATTACGGTATCAATAAACAAATTCTAATATGCATATGATACAGCTGACGAATTAAATTTAACGACAGTCATCGTTCATATTCACAGTACAATACGTTACATTGATCAATATTTGAAGGTGAATTAGAACAGTTTCGATTTGGTGTAATAATATAATCACCATTGATATCTGATTTAATAATATAATCACCATTGATATCTGATTATTGAGAAAATATTATACAAATTTTTCCAATAAAGATAGTCGACTGAATATGGAGGACTTGTTTAACTGATTATAAGAATAACTGCAATCAGATGAAGGGTTAAATGGACTAGAAACGAAAGATATTCATAGCATTTTTCAAAAAGTTAAAAAATTTAAAATTTTAAGTAAAAAATGTTAATTAATGTAGTGATTGCATGGACACCCCAAAATCGCATGTGACAACAGTTTTCACCGGACTCGTAATTCGTGTCAAATGATGAACATTTAAAAGTAATTTTACATCGAAAATTATGGAAGAAATCGAAAATATTTGATAAAATAAATCAAAATTACCATTGATTACATTAGATAAACTGTAATATGACATTGATTACTTCTTAATTGAAATGAATTATTGTTTGTAATGTGTCTGACAGTTCTATTTGTATATGTTTTGTCTTTATACTGTAATATAACTAAAAATAGGCATATTTGAGAAGGAATACTCTGGGAGTGTGATGATAACTGACTGAAAGACTGAGTTAGGAACGGTTCTTTGACGTACAGAAGAAAGGAAATAGCGTCGACTACATTTGTTGTTCGCACCCTGAAGTTCTCTTTTCTTGAAAAAATAATTGATTGTCGATTGTGAAGGATAAACTCTTTTATTATAGAGCACAAATACTTCAAGTAAAGTGATGCTGTCAGCATCGATATTTTGACTCTGCTAATTTATTCTGTTTTAGATGTTCGATGAAAGTACGTCTATATTGTGAGATATTTATACGATGTAATGAGTTATGCAACGTAAGTCACTAATCATCTCTTTATTTCATCTCTCACCTATTCGAAGGAAATATGACATTGATCTAACAGCAATGAGAATATTCGTATTTTTGATTTATCTTTTTCCATTGTACAAATGTAGACTTTGCCTTTTACTGGAGTGTTTTTAACAAATTTGAGTTTTGATTGGTTATTGATCAGAATACGGAATGATGATGTCTATCTAGAGCGTCATCATTAAAAAAAGAAATCTTTTAACAGTTCATTGTTCTCATTTCAACGTTTGTGAGAGTGTAGTTGTATGGTATTAATTTTATCGGTATCTATAAATGTTGAAATAATAATTTTATAATAGAAAAAGTTTTAAAAGTAAATTTGTAAACGACTTTACATTGATGCATTAAATTCGAGTATTCATTCAATTGAGACAATCCTAGGCAGCTTAGATCTTCAATTTAAAGTAGAAATCCTTCCAATTTAAGTTTTTAGAAGAAATCTGTTTCTATATGGTAGATATGATATCCGTTTTTCGTGTGTGTATGTAGGAGAAACGAAAAGTGTAGAGAGATAAACAGCTGGTATATGTCATGTTTCCTCGCCTTCTTCCTCAACTTATTCTTTTAGTTCTTTTAAGAATTCATGGGGAGGATTTTAAACAAAAAAAAAAATTACTAGAGTCATGTGGTGTATTAATTTGAAAAGAAAATTGTATCTTTTACTTTTCTATCAGGGGAATAAATGAGAAACTAATTTTTAACAAGTTATGTCAATAAAGACCTATTTCTCTTGAGACATTTTGACTCACATTCAATTAAGAATCATTATTAGTCATCATTTTATCTAATAATAACTAATAGATTTGTCTTTCTGGATAGTATCGTCGACAAATTGAAGGTTAGAAATACACAAGAAACGATAATCAAGAGAATATTTTAATATTTACAGGTTAAAATAACTGTAGTAATCAACAAGAATGATCATTTTATCAGCTGTGGTACAAAAACAGTTCTTTCTCACAAATATGTAAACTAGTATGGTTTCATGTAAAAATTATTCTTTCATTCCCAATGAATATTATGTTCGTTATATTGTAAAAACGAATCTATGACTTAACTCTTTACTTTCCATAGCAGTTCCAACAAAGCTACTGGTAAAATGGCCATTAGGATAGAGCATTGGTCTACTCACTATACTAATAGTATGGATAGATCGAGTAGATACATTCTCTTGTTGCTTGTAGCTTGGTCACTTCATTGACCATTCATGTGGGAAAACTAACAAAAGAACTTAATGCGAAAACGTTTACATGTCACAGACGTCCGCATAACGTCTGCATTTATAATTAGCGTCACCTATGTCTAAGTATTGATAAACGTTATATGTAGATAAAATATGTGTTTAAAAATAGTCGTTTTTTAGTTGCTCTCTCTTTTCCCAAGACTCTAGTGGTTGTGGTATTTTGCACGAACTCGTGCTCATTTATTTATTGTGAAATTTTCAAACGTCATTTAACTAAGAGTAAACATTTTACTCGATGTATCTCATAATAGACACCGTAAAAAAGTATCCTGCATCTAGGGAAAGAAAGATCTTAAAAATAAAGTTCAGTTTTTTTTACTTTTCTGAACTAAAGAATTTTATATGTCATATAGCTCGAAGACGAGAGAAATATTCTTTTTATCAATCGAAAACTTGTGATGTTGCCAATAACGTCTTGAAAGGTTTTAAATTCGATGTTTCGTTTATTTTCTTCAACGTTTCTACAAATGATCATTCCAATGACTCGTTGAGGGTAAAGGCTTAATGTAAACCTGACCTATTTACAAATTCTTTCTGTATGCTATTTCTAAATTCGTCCGTTTTTTGTCTGTTTAAGGTAATTCTCTGTTCACAGTTGTAATCGATAAGGATGAACGATCTAGCCATTCTTTTTCGTAAAATTTTTAAGAACGGCAGTTATAAAAAAAAATATTTTTGATCGATGCAGCTATAAAATATTTTTAAATAAGTTTAGGCTTTCACTAATAAAAAAAGAGTAGGAGAACACACTTTGCTGTTTCCTTTCTCAGTTCTTTGTAAAACAAGAACTTTAAGAAAAAAAATAAACGATTTCAAAATGTTTGATTTTGGCTGAGTATTTCTTCAAATTACAGTTTGAAAATAAAATTTTTGACAAACTTGATAGAAGAAAAAAAAAATATATTCAGTATACTTTTTGTAGAGAATTTCAAGACGAATCTTTTGAGAGAAGAATCAGTTTAAATATACAAAAGGAACAAAGTTATAAATGGCATAGTTACCTATCCATATATTGTGATTCTAAGTTGAGCCAGTTTGCTCTAAAATTTGAGTGAACAATGGTCTTATAGCGACAAGATCCCATCAGATACAATTGTGCAATGAACCAACGTTTCATAAATGACCTACTTTTTCTGAGACATTTGTTCTTTTCTCTTTTTGCAGAGATCCAGAAGATTTTAGATTAAGTTCTTTCTATTTTTAAGGATGTTGAATTTTTTTTTGTAGTTTGAGAAGAAATTATTTGCATTTTCACCGACTTAGTGACTTTCTCATATTGGAATTGTAATTATCTCTGAATTATAACCGACGTCTTTTTTTACTTATAATATTTAACATTATGCTAAATGTTATAATCAATGAAATGTCAAGAGAATTGGATACAATATAACATGACTCTGGTTTGTATTGCCTCATCAAACACAGAGCAATGCGTCTATATGAGCTGAGAATGTTTGTTTTTTCGTTTAAAACAAACTTTCATACTCAATTTATAATTTGATGATATAACAGATACACAATTATTTTAGTAAAAATTAGTTTCTTATTCATTATACTGTCATATTCATATTCATATTCGCTTTTATAAAATTTGTTGAACAAAAAAAAACGATTAAAATATTCATTTGTTGTTTTTTTTATTAGTAAACAGTACACTATACTTTTTAACCTGTACGTGATATCCACAATGGTTTGCCATAAATTCGATTTCTTGTTTGTCTTAATAACCATGATGGATTAATATGAATATTGGCTAATTTATTTTGTTTATTATAATCATCATAATCTTCTTGTTGTTCGTTTAAATCATTATTGTTGCCATCATTAGAATCAGACTCTTGTTGATGTAAATATAGTTGAATATTGCCCTTTAAACGATTAATTATCTCATCATTATCGTGCTTATTATTAAATAATGAATTATACTGTTGTTGCTGTTGTTGATAATGATACGGATTGATACCTGTCGATGTTTGAATAAAATAGAATAGCACAAGCATTATTAAAAAATAAAATGATAGAAAATGAATTGATCGAAATTGATGTAAAAATGTGGTAATCATTTTAAAATAAATATTAATAGTTGAATTTAAAATTAAATTAAATTAATAAAGTAATAAATAGATCTAAAGATATTTCAGACAATCGAATATGAGTGAACTGTTTTAAACATATTTCCATCTATTTATATGGAGAAAAAAAAAAGAAAGAGAGAAAAAAAAAGTGCCGAAAAAGAAAAAAAAATAGGAAACAGAATTAGTTATCTAACCCATGGCGAGAAGAAAAAAAAGGTTATACAAAGATGATCACAATATTTAATGTATTCTCGTGACATGTTCATAATACAATATTTAATTTCCGTGACATTTGAAGGGTGACTAATTTAAGACGGTTCTTCATATCGAAAAACCAACTTTCCATCTAATTATTTTCATAATCATGACGGATCTTTCAAACGTGTATCGAAAGAAAAAGACTTTTGAGAGAGAAAATAATATTTTTAACTAAAAATATGATCATTGAGCTCAATTATTACCTAATTACACGTCTACTGAGTCTTTTTGAAGAAAAGTTACACCTATGGCGTTCAAATTTTCCATATTGTCAAATATATTGTACATCATATGTTTGTTTTTTTTCAACGGATATAATAATAAATGAGAGAAAATCAAATGTAAATAATGAAAAATCTTTCTTTTAACAATTAGTAAATAATATGCCAAAAAAAGAAAATATATTGAATAAAAGTAAATAAAAATAATGTAATAAATTGACACTTCTAAGAAACAGAGTGTCATCATATTAAATTAATAGACAAGACAACAGGGATAAATATTTTTCAGAAGTACTTCGATTTCAAATTTGTTCTATGCAAGATAATCGACCGAATTCGAGATAAACAATCTTCTAAAATTTTTCAACAGATTATTCTGTCTTTCTCTATTCTATACTAACCTTAATAATTATTGTTTTAAAAAATTTTATATCAAGAAAAGATAGAAAATTTTTTCTTTTTAAATAAAACAATTTTTTATTAATCAAACTCTTGTAAGAAAGGGGAAAAATACAGTAAAAAAATAATGCGTATTAAGAAGTGGTTAAACGGATCGAATATTCACTCGATGCTGAAAAATGCATAGTTTTTCTACATGGTGTAAAAAGTTTGGAGTGTTTGACGCAAAAAATTTGATGATCAAGTTTTTTTAGCGGAAATGATAAAAAGAAGAAAACGTAGTCTGAGAATCGTGATCAGCATGTTTAAGAATATATATACGATCATTTTTCAATTAAAACGGATGACAATAAAAATAGAAAAGAAAAATAATTAATTTTTATGTGGGAGTTTGCCACAAATAATCTCATGAAAGATGTATAAGTTATTCATTGACTAGCAAAGTTATAAACGGTCAAATTTTTGTTATTCATTTTCTGTTGTATCAGACGTATGTTTAAGAGAAGAAAAACGTATTAACCTATTTTAAGTTTAGAAAAAATTTTCTATACTAGAAATGTGGACATAATAATATCATAATTCTTTTTATCTATAAGAGATTTTCTTTTAATAAGAATTACTTAAAACATAAAATTATAAATAAAAATACATAATCTTTTATAAACTTAATTTTTAATATGAAACATTTTCTAAAATGTAGGTTGGTTAACTCTTTCAGGACCGGTTTAATTTTTATATATACAGTGCTGTTCAAAAATTCAAGACCTTTTTTATTTTGCAATATCTTGGCTTCCCTGACAGATAGAGACTTCATCCTTTCGTCAAAAGAAAGCTATCACTAAACTCTACCATATGTGAAAATATCGTTAAGTTTCAACTTATTTTGGCGGAGTTAGGTAGAAAACAGTATTTTCCTAAAAAACGGAAAAAACGCATCTTCAGTATTTCGTTTTTCCTAACCAAGAGATTTTCGACAAAAAAATTCAAATGGCAATGTCTCGATAGAGAATTTCAAGAGCTATCTACTGACAAAAACATTTTTGACTTTCGATTCTGTCTTCGTACTCAAAACCCTCTTTTACTGAGAAGGATCGAAATTTTCGGAAAAACTTAGATTTCTAACTCAGAACTAAATATTATTCAAATGTATTATCAAAAGATAGAGCGTCAAAAACTGCATAAGATGATGTATTTGAAATTTGATTATGATCGAATTTTGAGAGACGTTTCTTCAAAAGAAAATTTTAGAAAACACGGCTTATTCCGATTTTTGACGTTTTAAAACGTCACCCGTCCCGAAAGGGTTAATCGAAGAAATGTAAAGCTTTTTTTTTGTTGATCCTTTCACTGTAAAAACTTTGTTATTCATCTTTCAGAATACACTGTCATAAAATATAAATAATACCGAAAGTTTTCTATTTTCTTCCATTCAATGTTCAAATAAGATTTTTTCTTGATAAACAAGGCTTAATAACTTAATGTCATTCTTAATGGTTCATCTAAACGACATTGAGATGAAAAATAAACAATAATGTTTATTAGTAATGAAATTCGACACCACTATCAAAAGGGATATCTGATGTTTTGATATGCTTGAAATATTATAGAGTTTCACTCATATTCAACTTTCCCTTCTTCATACAGTGTGCATTCAGGTGGACATTTGATCAAAAATTGAAAGTCTATTTTTTCCAGATTCATAGAAAGTAAAGTACACTTCGGTATGTGCTCTATTTAATGGCATAAAAGTTTTTGTTCCCGGTATTAAGGTAGTCTAAAAATGTACGCACATATCATAAAAATTATTATCTTTTCTAAATTCTAATAAAGTTGTAAATAAAAACGATAAAGATTCTGAATCTAGACTCTTTCGTTTATTTTGTAATGAAGAAATTTCTCAGTTTAGATCTATATCTTCGGAAAAATAGAATTAGTTTTCAAACTAAGTATAGTTTTTCATACAGCTGTGACCAATACAATGACGTTTCAAAAATTTTCCAACCTTTAATTTGGCTCAAAATTTGCACAAATCGTTCTTCTATCTATCCTATACCAATGCAGATAGCATAAATTAGCCTAGATATTTCTCGACTACGCTGTAGGTTTTCCCCAAACTCTTGATTGTTAGGTAAAATCCATTTTTCTCAATTCACGAGTACTATCAAAAGAAATCAAGGTGATATTTGAAATTAACGCATGAAACTACATTGACCAATGTATAATACGATAAGTTTGGGATCGAACAAATATCCATCGAAAGACCGATTTTTCGAAAAACTGATTTTTGTTGAAAACATTTATTTTTCTTTAAAAAGGCTTTTTTAGATATGAATAGAGAATGATAATTAATCACGAAAAAACGGTTAAGGACAAAAAAATTCTGATGTCCGACTGCTATTAGAGAAATGTACACTGTGCCTAACGCATCTACTATCAACACTGACTAGAATTTTTAAAAATCTAAAAATGTAGAATTTTATTTTTTTATGTTATAACAGTAAGAACTAAAACATTAAACACTGAACAATATCGAATTTCTGGAATTATTCCGATTAGCTGAAATTCCCAGAAATTTTTATTAAATTTGGTTGTCGTCGATGTTTAGTTTCTATAGCGTTGGCTTTTGATAAACACACAGTTAAATACACCCTGCGACAAAATAGACCGACATGTCGTTCTATTTTGTCCTAGCACATCAGGTTTTATAACGTGTTACTCTATTGAGGGTGTCGTTCTAATTTGTCCAAAAGTGACAAGAAAGTAATTTTTTGATTTAAACCAAGTCCTACATAACCTACCTTTACTTATATGACTTATGACTTGATTTTCCAGACTTAATAACTGGTCAGAAGACTTGGCTAGACTGATGACTGGAAAAATCTCTGATTCGACTATCTCTACGTTTGCCTTGAGAGCGGCATGCCGTTCTAATTCACCCCTCATATAAAAGTATTTAGGGTGTTGTTCTATTATGGAATGTCGATCGATTTTGTCGCAGGGTTAGTGACGCTTTTTCAATTCTTCATTTGGCGAGGAAATATTTACTAGCTATGCCACCCAAACGACACTGAGATATCGCTACAGTTATATATAAATAAATATACATATGTATATTTATATATTTTCTTTCTATTTTAGAAAATCTATTTTTTTTCTTCTTCGCCTCGAAAAAATGATGTTATTAAAATTACTAGTGTTATTAATTAGTTTTATCAAACTATCAACGTCAAATTTAAATTTAACTGAAAATAGGAATGTCGATATTGAATCCACTAATGAATATCTTGGTCCGCTGAACAAACATTTATTTTGGTTTGTACACGTATGTAAGATGTGATAAAATGAAGTATTTAATCATGGTAGAATTATTATTTCAGGTAACAGATCTTCATATAACACATATTGGACATGAAGATCGTGCTGAACAGTTTGAAAAATTTTGTACAGAAACTCTTATTAATTTAATTAAACCACCAGTTGTTGTCGTTACGGGTACATAAAAATAATAAAAATTACAGATGGAGAAATATGAATATATTTCATATTGAACATATTGAAAATTGTAGGAGATCTAGTTCACTCTGTTGGTGATTGGATTCATAATCATGGAAGCACAGAACAGTACGAAGAAGAATGGATTAGATATAATGAAATATTAAATCGAACAAAAATTACAGAAAATACGGCATGGCTTGATATGCGAGGCAATCATGATAATTTTATGGATTCCGATCCAGATTCCTTAAAAAGTTATTATCGGTATAAATAATTGAAATTTGTTTTTGATCAACATATGAATTTAATTTTTTGTTTTAGTCGATATTCTCATCAGGGTCTCAATCATTCTTCATCATATCATTATGTTCATAAGACAAGTGAAGGTGATCAATATAGTTTCATTGGAATTGATATGTGTCCCAGACCAGGTAAATTTAAATATAGGCGGATATTTCTTCATTACTTCTAGAAACAAAGAGATAGTGGTCCGCAGCTTTACAAATCAAAAAAGAGAAGGTTTGCACATCTTTATATAAGCAAAGCTAGTTAAGAAACCATTTTCAAATTAGTATTTTAAGAAAATCATATTCGGAAGTTATCCACTTCTTATAATGTATTTTGAGTAGAGGTTATGAGGGTGATGTGAAAACTCTCATTTCCCTAAAACTCACTTGTCACCTTGTTTTTGAATTCGTTTTTTGGAAACGTACACTACTATCAAATTCAATGTGATTAATTACACTTTGTACTCTTTATTCATAGAAAAAAATACTACACCTCTGCGTTACGTTTTGGAGAAATACATGTATTTTTCAAAGATCTCCTCTAAATGCTAGTTCGAAAATGATTTCTTACCTAGTTGTGTTTGTATATGTCTTCAGGTCTCCTAGAATAACGATGGCAAGCTCTTTTCTATCAAAAAATATTCGATTATCTTCAATTTTAAAAGTGTAGACTTTCTTTTTTAGGCGCTGGTAGACCCTTCAATTTTCTAGGACAAATAACTAAGGTAAGATATTTCACAGTTATTCATATTTTTGACTTGATATTATTATTACCCATCGAACTTATAGTTCATTTTTATTGTTTGATGTCTAGTCTGAAATGCGTCATTTACTCACATTAACTGAACAAACTAAAATGTCAAATGCAACAATATTCTTTGGACATTATCCATTATCATTTACCTATTCTTCGACATCACCTGGTATACAATATATAATGAGGTCATAGTTAAATATAAAATGAAAATAATATATAAACTATCCGTATGTTTTATCTATTTTCAGAAATGCACTTGCCTATCTTAACGGACATTTACATGCTGGTATCCCACATCTGTATGCTCTTCATTCAAATGGACTACTTGAACTGGAATTAGGTGATTGGAAAGTTCATCGCCTGTAATATAAATAGATTCTTTTTCTCTTTTTCCATATCCCATTCAATTTCAACATTTTATTTATCTTTGCTGGTTATTTTTAGATTTCGTCTGGTGACAATTGATGGTGGGTTATTAGCATTTACCGATTTTCAATACAATAAATCAATCTATGCTGTTATTACAAATCCAAAAAGAGCAAAATATAAAACACCGCGAGAATCACTCTATAGGCTCAAACAATCAACACATATCAGGTTTGAAATTCTCTATAGATGTTATAAAAACATGTAGTAAAGTTGTCCTGCTATTATTATTATTAAGAATTCTTATATTTTCTAAACATCAAATTAATAATGTTCGTGTATCGATTGATTCCAAATTTATCGGATATGCTGTTAATTCAATTAATAATTTAAATTTATTCATATTACAGTGGAACACAAGTTTATACGAACAGGGTACACATATAATGCATGTACAAATACAGGTACTATTATTTTCATGTGATACGTAAATGTACAACAAAAACAAATCTTGACATGGATATCTGTAGGATTATCAAAATAATACAGAAGAATTAATGGAAGAGTTTGCATTGTCAATATCATCAGTAATAGCATGGAATCGATCGAAACTAATTCTACTCGTTCATTGGTCAACATTTGTACGTAATCCAAAATTAAAAAAGAATTGACGTGTATTTTACATTTTTGTTTTCTTTTCTAAAGGGTATCATCCTTCTAGTATTGTCACTATGTGCATATATAACCACATTAGTGTGCTTTCGATATCGTGCAACAAGGATGCTGAGTAAGGAATTTTTAACCGAGTGTATTTTGAACTGTGTTTCCTTGCAAAAAATGTGTTTTTTATTCAGTTGATTTATTCAGCAAAGCTGTTTTATCATCTACAATAGCTTTAAACTATCTGTGTATTTTTAGATTGTTGTCCAAATTGTTGTAGTTTATGGAATAGTTTTCATAAACGTATGATGTTACTTTGTTCAGTCGATGTCATTTATTATCCACTGCTTGGATTAGCCATCTACTATTTTATCGGTAAGTTCAGTATTAGTAGTTTCAATTCAGATTAAAAACATACGAAGATGTTTGATTTTTATTTTATTCCATTCTCTTTTACTTCTCTTTAAAATAAAAGAAGAAAAAAAGTTTATTTAAGAAAAATAGACGGTTAAAAGACGATAGAACTGATTGTTTGCAATGAAATTGGCTAAAGATCATATTACTTCTTTTGTTTTCATTTCGATTACAATTTTCTTTAATGTTTAAATTGTATTGGTGTCAATATCATTAACAGATAGATTTTCTGATGTTGAATAATTTCAACAACGCTTTGACAATGGTAATTCGTTCGCCAAAAATGCATGTAAAAGTACTAGAGTCATTATAAAGTCGACACAAAATTGACTTGGTTTTTATACTCATATTTTCTTAATTAAGCAGTTTGTATGAACAAGTCTACTAACGATGCGTGACAAGTTAAAACTGGATTAGAACTAAAGTTCATTTAAACGTATTGATATTCGTTTCAAACGTTATAAAATTGCTTCAAAGAAATTTTGAAGGAACTCAGGAAGGATATGAGTAGAAATTTATACGACAAGAAAGCGAGAAAATGTACTTTGGATCAGCAGATTGTGATCAGTATCCTGAAGATTATTTCGGTATGAAACACACTATTCATGAAAATATTCAGTTGGATTAACTATTGTATTTAATCTGTATCAAGTTAGCGATAAAACACGTTCTCAACCATTAGGGAAAAGAAAAGATAAAGAACATCTAAAGAACGTTAGCATGGCTTTGCATTTGTGAATATATTGTTTGTTCTTCATATTGTATATGTTTGTATATTGTATGTTGACTAAGAAATGAATAATCTTTTGGATGCTGATCAAAACATTCGTATCCGCAAAGAAAAAAGAAATTTGTAATAATTTCAGTTCCACCTCGTTAATATTCTTAACGCGCGCTATCGACAGAAGTTAAATGACTAAGGATCACTGAAACGGATTTGGTTTTGAGCTGCTGAAAATTGCTTTTCCGTACCCAGCACACTCGATAACCCAGAAGATTTTTTATTTTTGGTGAGGGGTACTTTCAAAAGTTTAGGAAAAATTTTCAGACAAAATACCACAAAAAATTTCCATGGGAAAATCGTATTAGTTTGAAAATTTTTCCTAAAAATTTGGAAGTATCCCTAGCCAAAAATAGAAAATCGTGCGGGTTATCAACCCATGTCAACGAAATCGCGGTATTTTTAACAATTAATTGCGATTCTTGAAAAATCGCAGATAAATTGCGATTAATTGGCGATTCCGATAATTTTTCTTTTTTTTTAAAAATGGCAATTAATTTCGATTAATTATTGATTTTAAGCGATTAAATGGTTACTGTTATTCACCATTTTATTTTACAGTAAAGTATGTATATAAGAAACACCATTTCAACGAGAAATACACTTATATTCAGATCATCTTTTTATTTTAGAGTAAAACGGAGTTGTCAAGTCTTCTCTATGATCCCTCAGAGGTTTAAGTCGAGGAGCCCAATGAACAGCTGGTACCTGGGCAATGTCTAAAATCGACTCGTCGGAAAGGCTCCGACTTCAGCTGGTACTAAGACCCTTGCTGTGTGATGTACATATCATTATACATAATAAACAATGAAAAAACAAAAAAATATGTGTTTTCTAAGATGGGTTCATAATTATTACCAAGAAAAAAGTCGTCAATTAATTGCGATTAAACGCACGATTAATCATATGATTTTTCACGATTAATTGCCGATTTTTATGCGATTTTTAGTACACGAGAAGTGTGCTGAATATGAAAAAGAACTCTTCAGCAACTTAAAACCAACGTTATTTTTTGTCCCGATGATATGCAGTTTTAAATGTCTCTCACGTATAAATGATACTCTAAAGAGCGTTCTAGACATTCATTCTATCCCAAAATTATCACTAATTGCCGTAAAATTAGTTCTATATTTTTTTAGCGCGATTCTAATATTGAAATAATTTAGTCTTACTGTATGATTTATACTGTTAAATAATCTTCATCCTCTATGAAACGGATGGAAAATATTGAAAAACGATAAACCGGATTTAGTTCTCTAAAATTGAATAGATAGATGTTTCACAGATCTAGGCTAATAAGTGTTCTTGTTTTTGTTTAGGTCCTTGGTACATTGGCTACTTTACTAAGGACTATTTTGGTGCTGCCTTCCTTTGGGGTACTGTGATTCATGGTATATATCTTTATCCTGATACACAACCATTTATGGGCACTGTACAAGTGAGATTTGTAATTCCAATTTATTGTCAAATTGAATTATTATTTCGTTATAGCTTTATATGTTTGTATTTCCATTAACATTTGCTCTGGCATGTTCTGTCTATTATCGTTATATTGATCTACAAACGAATGTATATAGAACTCGTACACGTTTGCAAAAAATATGTCGTATACTAACTTATGTTATATTTGGTTATGCAGTCTTTTTTATATTTATGATTTCATTGATTTTTACATTGTCATATAATCTAGGCTGGATCCTTTCACCATTTGGACTATTTTTAATAATATTTACAGTATTTCTATTTTATAAAACGAATAAATTAGAATTAAATCAATTTGGAGTGTTATTGAATAAAACAGATGGAGATACTGCCGATATTCATGAACCAATTTTTCTCTCAACAGGTATATTAATTCTGTTTAATGCTCTTGAAAAAATTTGTTCGGATTTCATTATGTAATATTCTCAACACAGGTGCTAACATTCGTTTCGACCTTCTAGATCCATAAAATATTGGTGCACAAGAACGTTAACTCAAAATTATAGTCACAATTTATAATCATAAAGATATTTATTTTGCTTGTCTTCTTTTAGATGCATTTTTTTTTTTAAAGGAAAAATATTTTATCTCATATATATATATATATATGAATCTCTTAAAACAATAGATAAATTTATATATTTTTTTGTCAAGTTGTTTGTTTTTCTACATTATGCAATTATTTATTTATTTTTTTGCAACACAATAAAATCTCGCTGATCGTTGGCTTTATTTATCATTCGCAATCGCGTTTTCTCTTTACGGATATTTGCAAAAGACGCCATCACCTACCAACACCTCTAAACTGCCTGAGTCTATCCTAAATCGATAGAGTACGCCAAATAACCCTACGCCCATACCTACTTGAACCTGAGGTATCCAGAATGGAATAGTACCACCGCCACCCAAATGGACGGGTATTTGCACCCGCTGATCCTCTCCACAGTATTTGGGACGCTGCGTTACCTATAGAAACGTACATACATCACACATTTAGAGTCTACACACCTTGGTAGAATAGTAGATTACAAATATTGTCATTGAAGGCGATGTAAAAGTGTGTGTTACGCGCTAAAATATGAAAGAAAGTGTTATACTTTCTGTTATTCTATTATACTTTATACTTTCACTCATATATTAGCGCGTGACACATATTTTTACATCACCTTTAATGCCAGTATTTGTAATCTACTATTCTACCAAAAATTGTTTTTTTTCGCTGAATATTGTTTTTTTAAGTCATAGATGTAATACATAATCGGTAGCTTTGAATTTGTATACCTAGATGTATTCTGCGACGGATATCAAAAAAACTTTCCAGTTATCCCTTTAAGTGGTGTTCTCCGAATGAAGTATTTGATGAAGGATGTAGACTCTAAATATGTGATGTACATGCGTTTCTATAGGTAAATCAGCGTCCTAAATACTGTGGAGAGAATCAGCGAGTGGAAATACTCGTCCATTTGGGCGTTGGTGGTGGTATTCTATTCCGGGTATCTCAGGTTTAGATTCAAGTGGGTGTTAGTGAATGTTGGTGTAGGGTTATTTGGCGCGTTCTATTAATCTAGGATAGTCTCAGGTAGTTTAGGGGTGTTGGTGGGTGATGGCGTCTTTTACAAATACCCTTCCTTTATTGATCCATTACAGTCAAAGTTAACTTTCAGTTTAGTTCAAATCTTTCTTTCAAAGTCTACAGAGTACAGTTCATGTGTTAACGCTATAAAATCTTACTTTCTTCAGGTGACTAATTTTAGATGTACTGATAGTTGTTGTATTTAGTTCAAATTTAACGAATGTACGGTCATAGGTCTTCCTCATCTCTTTTACCAGATTCTAATCGTTCTTCAATCAAACAGCGTCGTACATTCGTCGTATTGTGGTTTGTTGTAGGCACAACAATACTCACTTTCTATTACTTTCGTAACTCCGATTTATTATCCAGCAGAAAAAATAATATTAACGGTTTGGCTGATAGTTCTTTATTACCTCAATCGAAATTATTCACCTATGTAAATATCTCTTCCAATCTTCATATTACACATGAACAAGGTGTGCTATTTCACATAGAACGGAGTGCCCATTTTGCAAGTTTAAAATCGAAAAGTGTTCGTGGAAATCACCAACATAAAGATGCGAGCGAAATAATTGTACTGTTACATGGTAAATTTCAGTTTCGTGTCGGTGAAAAAGATGCTGGTACAAGTGAAGATTATATATTTGATATTCGAGACGATGCCATGGGCGCTGTAGGTATTAAAATCACTGCTGAAAAATGTCATGCTTTGAAAAATATTGGAACAAGTACAAACTGGTTTGCAAGCTACTATTTAAAGTCGGCGACTGACGATAAACTACCACAATCAGATAAGACTGCATGTGCGTCAATAAAATTGACATAAAAATGATAAAAGAGTTATAGACTAATTGAGAATGTAAGTCAAAAATCAATCTCCAACATTTGGTTGAGTTTACCGTTTACAAAAGAGGGTGCTCCATAGCAGACTTGAAAACTATCCTAGATACGTCTTCTTTTTCATTTTATTTTTATGATATTAATTTTGTCACAGAATGTTAGTTAAACTAATTTATTGTGATATCCTTTTATGTTTTGTAGAATCTCATTTTGTATAAGGTCATGTGACAAGTAACTTAAGTTTTAGTAAAAATAGTAACAAATAAGAGGAGACCAGCTCCAAGATAATATAAATAGTTCAATCTAAAACATTATACAATCAAACAAAAAAATATACATCAGTTACAAAAAAATTTTTATATAATGAGTTTCTATTCGTTGAGACTTTTGTTGAATTGAGAATATTATGCGAAAATATCTTATGTTTTGGATGTAGAGAATCAGATATAAAATATGTGTAATTCGATAACTAGCTTTAAGAAAGCTCACCTCAGAACACTTTGTTTTACATTGTACATGTACATCCACTATTAACTCAACTTTTAGGGCACATAGATTCTAGTGAGAAACGATTATGAAAAAATTGAAGATAAAAATGTTCAGTCGTTCAGTAGGTATCAAAATTCGACAGAATATCAAAATTTCAAGAGTGATAACAATTGAAAATACCGGATTAAACTAGATGGTCTGGTCTAAAAAATGATGTACTTTTATTAAAATTAGACGCAAGTTTTAAAAATCTATTTGTGCCATATTGTATGACTTTGAAACAAAAAAAAGTTATGAAGATGCGTGAGAGGATTCCCGAGAAAATGGTATCGTACTGAACATTACACGCCTTATAACCGCAAAGAGAATATCTGACTGAAGTTTTATTAAAACATTTTTAAGATTTACGCTGAAAGGACATCTCTGTATTCAATAGAAGGTCGTCTAAAGGTGATTGATATCTTATTTTGAGAGACAAAGGACTTTCGAAAATCTTTTTGAAACAAAATGAATGGATTGTACTAAATCTGATGCATATTCTGAAAGTAAACGCCGCGCCACATTATTCTACATATATATATACATCGAAAGGTTTAAAAATAATCGTCATTTCTGGCAGAAAACAAAAAAAGAATTCGTTATTTCAGTCTTGTTCGCTACGGACTACAGTGACGATACTGTCTTCATTTGAATTTTATTTTTTTCGTTTTTTTCATTCTGTCGACAGAACTAATTGAAAGAGAGGCGTTGCTGTTTTTTTTCTCTTCTCCTTGGAATATTTTTGTTTATTAGTTGATTATACAAATTTTCCTTGCTTGGATAATGACATATTTACCATTTTGTTTATTCAAAGATATTGAATTTACATAATTGTTTCTTCTATGTCATTACTATGTTAACTTACTTGGTATTTTATTTCGTTTCTTTTAAATTTTTTCAACATAATTGACCGAAATTATTTTGTTTATGCATTTCATACTTATGCCATAATGATTTTATAGGATATATTTTACCACCACAGAACATGTATAAATCTTTATACGGTTCATATCGTCTTAAATTACCCCATATACCAAAACCAGAATTTGATATTATAGATAAATCACAATCGCCTAACAAATGAAAATCCGTTAATAATTTGTCTTGTTCACGACATGCTTGATCTGTATCAGAACGATCTAAATGAGTTATTGCGCCTTGAGTATAAATTAAATGATCCGAATAACGAACTTTAGCTTCCGTCTTTACACTATCGCTATCGGTCGTTATAAATATCCTATAATCAATCATTTTATTATGACTAAGATTAGTTTTTATATAATCATCGATAAAATTAAATATAGTTTCGGTTATATTTTGTCGACCAGGCAATATCTTATCATTGGATAATGTTGGATTTTGGCCTAAAAAAAGTTCATAGAATTATTAATATAACAAGACATTACAAACATTTCATATTGATCAAACTCTATATTATATAAAATAAAATAGAAGATTTTTTTTGTAAAAAACAAGATATTTTACCTGTTCTCATTTGTGCACATATTAACGTTTTATTAAGCCTCATTTTTGTATATTTTTCAATTTGATTTTTAACACGTTCTACTGGTTGAAATAAAAGTTCATAAAACAATGGAAATAATGTTTCTAATTTAATATTATATTTTGTTAAAATTCCATAAGTTTTAAATTTTTTACGGTATCGTACATTTTCTGACATCTCATAATAATAGTTTTTATTTGTGGCAATATAGAGAACATCTTCTGGCCATATTTCATCTATTGTTGAATTTCGAATAATTCTTGATACATTTTTCAAAAAAAATTCTTTAGCATTAGCTGATGTAATGATCATTTTACGAGTTAATTTATAGCGTTTACGAGTGAGATTATTACGACGAATGAGATTCAACGGTTGTAACCAATTGTAAAAGTTTGGTTTCAATATTCGTGTGAGATTACATGGATGAGTTATTTCAATTTGAAAATTACGATCTAACATTAACGACATCATAAATACTGACATTATTCCTCTTAGACGATCACCCCATCCTAAATAGGACAAAAAAAACAACAACTACTGTTATATAATTATATGGTAGAGAAGATTTTTTGCAATAACATTAGAAAAACATAATGTACTATAATTAACAATGATCAATGTAAAATTGAAACATATACCTCCACAGTTTTCATGACAAACATAGACTAGATATTTTTTAGGATTTTTTTGGGCTAAAACTGTTGATAAATTAATTCCAGCTGTTTTACCATTTGTTAACCAATATGTCACCCTCGGTTCATTTTGCCATGATGCTATCTCTGTAGATTCAATGAAATGTTTACTTGTTAGATTATTTGTTCTCACAGAAGAAGAATATTTAGCTGTTGAATATTGTATTTTTCTCATAGAAGAATCACTACTTAGATTAATAAATTTATTTAATTCAGATGTTTGATGTTTTTGATCGTTAAATAATAATAGAAAACGTAATTCTTTAGAATGAGTTGTGATTGAGTATGATGGAGTTGTGATTGAGTAGGATGAAGTTGTGATATTTATCGTCCTCATTGTTGTGGTTGCGGTTATTATTGTTGTTATGATAGTTTTATGCATTTTTGATTGTTGCGATGATAAAATATCTTCATCTTCTTCCGATTTAATGGATGATGAATGGATGGACCAAATAATACAAAGCGTTAGGACAAACAAAAAATACGATAAAATCGTTCGTTTCCATAAACTATTTCGTACCATACGAAGACATAAATGTGCATAAATCTACTAAAATAAATGTTTTGATATTAAATCGAGAGGATTGTTAAACTGAATATTTAGTATTGTAGAACATGAGTGAAGATTGGTACTAGTGATGCGATGACAGTTGAATGTTCTGGTAGATTCAGTATTATTAATGTATTAATACTATTTAAGGAAAAATAAGTAAATGAGAAAATCTAGTTGCAGTTAGTTGGATTTAATTGACGCTAAATTTTATGTAGTTGCAACTAGATGAAATTTAAATATATTTTTGCAGCAACTAGATTCAAACTAGATAAATTTAGCTTTAATCTAGATACATGCGTTCACTTCACTATTTTCTGTCTGCATGAGTCGTATTAACGACATCTCTTAACTAAATAGTAGAATATAATTGATGTGCGCAGAAAAAAGACTAATTTAATTTTTAATAAGGTAGTCAGGTTAATTTCTATTATAATGTACCTACTGTTCTGAAGTAGTCATTCGTAATTGAGAATTAAACCATTGTTTATGTGTGCTTATATGCACTTTTTAAAAATGTGTGTTTTTGTTTCGTTCTGTTAAAAACATGTTTGTCTCAAACAACGTCTGATTTTTAAACTATGTATAAAAAAGAAACAACCAATTATGGAGTCAGCAACAATCTCTTTCAATAACGATGCCACATTCAGCAAGCTTCTACCATACAAAAATATATTTCGAGTAAATATTTTAAAAAATCGCTCTCACGTTAAGCCTGTCTATTTGAAATAAAAGTATAATATTTCTGTTCTATTCTTCTCTCTTATTCTCAGAATAAAATAAGTGATTATTATAATGTAGACATGTTTACTTCAAAAAAAAAAAAAATCTTAAACATGAGTTTATTTCTTTACTGATGAAGAGGTGTATGGTAAAAAATATGACAGTTTTCGGATTGAATGACATATGGTCTTAATGGGATTAATTGATCAAACAATAACATAATTGAGATCGGATGATGCTTTGTGTCTGACAACAAAAGCACGTTTTACAAGAACAATTAGATCGTACAAGTCAATCATGTAGAAAAATAAAAAGTATAATCTACACAAGTCACTTTTCTTACTTGCAAGCTTTTGTATAATCACCTGCTCCAACGAATATGGGGTCACAAAAAATTTCAGTAATGGACTATGTCAGTAATCACTATAGTCCATTATTTCATTTTTTTTTGCTGCACAATACGTACAAAATACAAAATAAAGATACATAAAACAAATACGTGGTTGAAGTTTTTCAAGTAACTTTTTACTTGCATTAATCCAAATGTTTAGACAAGTACTTGAAAAGTAAATTCAGGGTACTTATAAGTAAAATTTCTTGTAAAAAACCACAAGGACTGATTTCATTACTTATATCAAACACTTTTTCAAGTATTTGACTTGAAGTACATTCACAAGGACAGTCTTCACTTTTTTCGACTTAAAAATATTTCTTGATGAAATTAGAGATATATTCATGATCTAAAAACATTAATCTAACAATTTTGGTATCAATTTGAGTTCAAGAAGAAAACTTCGCGTAATGGAGTACTATGATTCTTGGACAGTATAAGTTTTGCTAGGAACTAACTATCTCGGTTTCAAAGACGTCATAATCTCTATAGCCTGAGATATTCAAAGGTTTAACGTACAAACATCATTAGAATATTCTTTTGTTTCTTTATGGGGTATTCTTCTAATATCTAATGAAAGCAGAATATCCGATAAAGGGATACACCGGAAAATGCCTAAAGAAAGGAGAAGGGTTCATGAGGACGAAGGTGTACGGTGTGCGAGTGGGTAAGAACACAACACACCACAGATTTTTGTATTGATAAATACTAAATGGAGGTATAATAATTTCGATATCTTAGGATATGAGGATTTTGACATGCCGTGTTTGTTTTCAGTAGAAAGTTCAACAACCTGGTGAAAACCTGTACTAATTGAAATAACCTATTCTTGACTATTTTTACCGAAATTAAAAAATTCATAACTCAGTCAAACTCATCCAGACTACTTCATAGTCTGAGCAGGTTCTTCATTTTGTCTTCTGAACCTGGTTCTTCACCTACGATTACTAAAAAGGATTCTTGACATGTAAAGATTTCTAAACAATACACGAAGCAAAGTATTTTTATTGGTCTCTGAAACTTTTTCTGGAATCTAGAATATATTGCTGAAAAAAAAGAAGGACATGCTAAGATTGTGAAGGACTCATGTTCTACAACACTAAACACTTAGTATAACGATCCTCTCGATTTAATATCAAAACATTTATTTTGATACGTTTTTCTACATTTATCTCGTCGTGATGGGAGAATTAGAACAGTATTTTTTAAATCTCCGTATTCTCGATCTCCTTCAGTTAGCTTAAGAAATTTTTTAGCAGTTCCTTGACAAGAGTTGAAGAGAAGATGTTTTTTTGTTTCATTGCCGTTTTCATTCTTCTAAATTCCATTTTCTTCAGGATCAGGAGCATATCTACGGTTGCCTGGTCTCGATTGTTCTAATTCTTCAAGGCGGGGAACTGGAACATAAAAGAATTTTACAAGTCGCATTTTGAATAGAGCTCCTTCAAATATTGTCCGTTTACGATCGAATCCGTATCGAGCTCTATCGCTCGATATCCTCTACGTATCATACTCAAGCTGTGTACAAAAATAATTTAAAATACAAATATAAAATTCAAATTACTTTTGTTAAAAACCTAGTGTATTTCCCACGGACTGTTCTACTTCCCTACATAGAACAGTTGAGACTTTTTTGAATAGAATAAGAGCAGCGAAGTCCAAGAAAAAAATCGTGGTCACAAAAGAAAAATACCAACCATTTATTTCATCTTTATTTCTTTATTTTTTGAAATTATACCTACAGTACAGGTGTTTTCAATCAGTAACATCTTCTAAATAAAGTACTTTATCTGAATAACAACAAATTCTGTGGTCTTCCACTTCTACTGCGTATATTTCATAAAATAAAATTTTTATTTCTGTATTTTACCTTTATTTTTTAAAAGTAAATGATCCATTTATCTTTATTTTATAAAACTAAATGTTTTTCCATTTATTTATCTTTATTATTTAAATACAAATGATGAATCTATATTTATCCATTATTATAAATGAACAATAAAATTAAACTAACATCCCTACTTCAGACCATCTCTTTCTATGTCACAAGTGTTAGTTTGCGTATGTACTTGAGTACAATTCAGTCATATATATTGATAAGAGCAAATCGGTGTACACAGTATCATAAAACATATATTACTGTTTTTCCTGCAGTTCAGTATTTTTCAATTTTTTTCATCCAAAAATGACGTTAAAAAACCTTAAATTGGTTAAAGTCAATGAGCTCTATTCAACCATGTCAGAAAGAAGGGAAACAAAAATCATGCTATCTTTCTAAATTAGCAGCATCTTATTTCGCCTTCATGTCACAAACATTATTCAGAATCGGTAGGTGAAGGAAAAGCTTTGAGCCGAACACTCGAAAAAAATTGGTATTGGCCCCTCCCGTAGTTACGTCTATATCTAGAGGGACTTCATACACGTTCATAACATAAATACCAAACCTAATAAACTTCGGACTACGGAGATCGAGGCATTTTCATTTTACAAAGTCACATCCCTAACAAATGGAATGGTCCATATATTTTTCAAAATATATTTTTGCTGAAAACTTCAAGTCGAAAGGGTAAATATGGAAGAAGTTATGCGATATTTATTTTGACTGTGAAGGTTAAGAATGGTTGTATTTCTTTAAAACTTGCTGAAGTTTTTTCTGCATGAGAGTCCAAACAGTATCAATCTATTACGTTTGTAGAATTTAAAGTGCTCTTTAATTTGATAAAACAGTCATTCGTTGATGTTGTTTAGTCTTTGCGATATACAATTTTTAAAATATCGAGCAATTTGGGATCGAGTTTTGAACGTAAAACCTGACCTATACAGTATATACCTACGATTTTCTAGGAATGGCTGGAGAATGTTATTATAAGTTTACACAAATAATTTTCGCCTTGACTTCCACATTATCACCGAGTTATAAAAATAATAATAATAATAGGATACCAAAAAAGAGGTGAACATCCAGATCTGAGTAATCATTTGTCCGATAAAAAAACTAAGTAGATATAGACGATTTGGACCAAGTGGTCTATATTGTACTTTTGAAAATGACTCAATGAAGAGCCGAAACATCATGATAAGTTTAAGTTAAATTATTAAATAAATGACTGCTGCTATAAAAAGATCTATTCTTAAAAATCTAGCAAGTTTTTTTTTCGCTACCGGTATCGTTTAATGGTGTCTCGTTAATAAATGACGTATATTTGCTTATATTTTCCTTGAAAACAAAATCAAACTATTTTCGTTCTCACAATTCCGCTCAAAATTCTATTCTTTTGTCTTTACACACGTAAACAGACATAACAACAGAAAGAGAAAAACATGTCTTAATTAAAAATATTAACATACCAACACGTCATATAGTCTCAGAGTACAGAGCGATAATAATAGAGACAGTATCATGAATAACAAAAAAATTGAACAAATAATTACATCGTTATTATTAGATAAAAAAAAGATGAAATTTCATGAAATAAAAACGACAACGAATATTGTTTTTTCCATGACAAATAAGGGAACAGTAACAAGAATTGAATTACTAACGATAATAAGTTCCATTAAGTTACCGTTAACATTATGTTTAATACATTGAATGAGTGGTCATTGAACGTGGTATCTTAATTTTGTCTAAATTTTTCAATATTATATCGTGAACAGATGTCTAAAACAAAAATACAAACTAAACTGATGATATGTTCATGTTCAAAAATTCTATATGAAATCTATACAAGATGCATACGTAAATTTTTAAAGTTCTAACAAAACTATTATTTCCTTTCTTTCATCCATCGATAAACTAGAAAATTTTAGTTTAAAGTACTCTACAAAGATCATTTAGGAAGATGTGACTAATTGGATATCATCTGATGGTAAAGTTTTTCTGAAAAGAATTATGGACGTACATAATGATTTCTTAATTCGAGTGCAATAAATCTCATTGATACAAATTGTTTTTCGTCTAAACTTTGTACCGAACGTCGATAATCTTCAACATGTGGATATTTTGCGACTTTCTTAACTAATTCACCACGTGAAACTAAATATTTATAAGTTAAATCCAAATATTGAGTGACATCCGTCTCGAGTGTGCGTATTTCAGTTAGAGAATCTTCTTGAATGGATACTCCAAAATTATTTCCATCTTCAACTTTTGGAATTAACAATTGTATCCACAATTTTATCTATATATAAAAAAAGCAGTTGATATTCAAAATTGAGTTGATCATTTTTTTTCAATCGATCATCGAATAAAAGCAGTTGCTAGATTGATCCTTGGAAAGAGATCTTTCATCTTAAATCCAGTATAATGTTCAATTAGAGATCTGCATGGGCTGCTCATGGAGTGAAAAAACTTCTGTGACCCATGTGTACAGACAGCCTGTGCAGATCTCTATGCTCAATCCATTGATGAGACAAAGTTTTCTGCTTACAATTGCAATACTATCGAGAAAATGAAATATATACGGTTTCAGTTTATCTTCTAACAATTGAATAATCCCGTTCGATGGAATAAGACCACAGGGAAATAAAAATACACTTGTTCCTAGTAAAAAAAATCTAAGTAGGTAGAACTATACATAAAACTGAATGGGTTTTAACCTATTTCTTTGGATGAAAATGATATTGGTGATTGATCATCATTGATTTTTCGCTTTTTAACATTTTTATGTTTACGATCCTAGAAAATGGATTTTCATGTATATGAGTGTGTAGAGTATGAATGATGTTCCAACATACCTCGATTACATCACTATTGTTGTTGTTTGTAGTGTTGGTGTTCTTTTGTAAAAAATGAGTAACTAATTCATCTACAGTCGGAAAACGAGCTTCTATAAATATAAACTGCTTTTAGACACAAACAGTTCAAAAGAAGTAACTTAGCATACCATGACGAACTTTTGGAACTTCGGAAAATGACAATGATTGACTCTAAAAGAAAAAAGAAAAATTGCAATAACAAAAATCACTTGTATTTATGACGACCGAGTTATTCTTCATGTGTAGATAAATCTCGATCGAGTTAAATTGTTTTTATCTTTCTTTACCGAAACTAGTGCATCTAATTCTAATGCTTTTACGGGAAATTCTGTTTTTATTAATCTTTCAGCCTCAATTCTGATTTTTGTTGAATAATCATCCATATTCACTTTTGTTATGCTGGTTAAAAAATAAATCTGAAAATGATGAGTAAATGTAAACATAAGAAAGAAAAATGTAGCACATAACAGAATGAAATTTCAAACATATATGGATAACAAAAAATGATGAAAGATGTTCATAGAAAAGAGTTAGACAAGTTTACATCAGTTGAACCATAGTGAATTGAAATCTTGAATTAATATTATTCAACTTTTGTCAAAAACAAAATAAAACAATAGGATAAAAGTAATTTTTATTCCCCAAAACATTCACAACGTGCAATAAGAAAAAGAGTAAACCATTGTATGAAGTATAAATACATAGCAAAAAGAGACGAATATATACGGAACTAGAGCTAATTAGTCTCATCTATCAATAAATTGTGTACAACTGAAATATATTTCGTTATTTAATAGCACTGTCGAATTTCAATATGCAATCATAGAGAACAAAGATCAATGCTTTTATTATACAGTCACAATCGCCAAATATAGTCTACCCCTTACTTATCTACTTATCCAGATCATGATTATCTAATAGGTCCATAATGATACACTCTAGTATGTGTTAAAAATCATGAGTTTTCTATGAATATAAATCATTTATACAAAGATTACTTGAATTTTTAAACATCATCCGTGTCAACATTAATCATTCTAACATAGTCCACTCGATTAAGGACTGAAATTATGCTAAATTTCTGTCATCTTCTCTTAATATCAACACCATTATAATAGTTGAACATATATATGATGCAGATAAATCATGGATAGTTTTTAAAACTGTTCAACAACAAAATCATGTTTTGAATGAGTCATGCGAAGTAAATAGATCATTGACAAAGTTAAGATAACCAAATAAAATTTAATATTATATAAACTGAAAAACTATAGAACTCAAACGTTGTTATGTTAGCTCGTCAATTAATATACCGCATATTTTGTTTTTTAAACTAACGGTGTCACATGCAAGATAATTGTACAATTTCAACTATTCGAATGAATCGAATGTTTCAATTGGTTTTGAATTCAAATTATACGCTCTTATCATTATCTAAAATATGGCGTGAACTATGAATGAGGCTCGTGCCTGAAGCTTGTCACCATCAAAGTACAACAGATAAAGATCTCTTCTTGCGCCATGTTCTACAAATAGACGCAGTTCATATTGTCTTACCTAATTTTAAACTTTCCTATTTTCAAATAACGGCGCTAACACTGACTATAACTGAATATATAAGAGTACTGTACTCAAGTCTCTATTTCGTTTTCTATTCGTTCATATCATTTAACAGCTTCTTGTGACGTTGACTCAAATGATAATCTCGTAGTTTTGTGGCATACACTAGCAGTTAATATTGTTGTTTACTGTATATTTTCATTGTATATTCAGTTTAATCCATCGTTTCATAATTTGAATACAAATTGATCAATGGTGCATATGGCAATGACTTTAGAACGAATCCATTAGTACATTCACTAATAAGTTGATAGATTTGTCTACTTTATCAAGAAAACAGAATAAAAATATTTTTCTAAAATGTGCCATTAAGAAGTGATTGTTTTCTATTTGTAAAGTTTTACAGAAATTATACTCGGAAAAAAAGCAGCATTGCTCGTTGATATTCAACGCATTTACAAACTCGACTCTTAAGCGCAGAACAGAAGTGATTGGATTCAAATTTTTTTCTGCTCGACGAAAGCTGTTAGACCTTTAAGAAAGAAAAAAATATGCTTTTACATATTAAATAAGCATAAAAATATCTGCTGCATGTTTCGATCGGTAACTTACTCAATAGATACATCAATCTGTCATTAAATTATTCTAACAAGCCAAAAGTTAATAAAAGATGATTTAGTGTAAAAAGATTTAACAAATATAAAAATGTGTTTATTTCGTATGCAGAACAGATAACAAGAAATCAAAACATAAGCATCAGCAACAATTTTCATTCATAAAATGAAATTGGACTAGATTAATACATGAACTAATTAAAAAATCAGTTAAATCAATTAAATTTAAGAATTTGTCTTATTTGCTGCGGTAGTAGTAGTAATATCATGGTTGTTATTAGTTTTAGCTTTCTTCTTGTGTTTCTTTCCACCTCGTTTTTTCTTCTGAATAACACTTTTAATTTTATTGTTCGTAGTGTTTGCCAATCGTTTTGATTTTGTACCGAATCGTCGATGTGTTTGTTGTTGATGAATAGCTTCAAAATCGATATCATAAAGTCCTGAAAAATATTAGATGTAGAAAAGAGCGATAAATACAAAAATAAAAGTATACATACGTCTGTGTCGTGGAGTAAATGTTAACGGGATACGATTAAATTTTCTATGATAAGGCATCAATAAAGTGGGTGTTAACGGTTGCCACGATATTTGTTTTGAGGGATTATTTTCGATGAGTAAGCTATTCGTTTCCGGTGATAAATAGAGATCTAAAAGCGTTGAACTAAAATACATAAACATGATTTAACGTTGGTACATAGTTATAAGCCTTTAATATCTGACAATTTACCATCAAATTATAATGCAAAAATATATTTATATAGAAATAGTGAGCAAAAAAGCCTTTCAATCAAGAACAACCACCCACAGAACTTCACCAAGTGATAACAAGTAGCGTTTTTATGTTGATTATGAATCTGATATTTCATAGGCTTCTCTTTGATGAGTCGCTACACAAACTGGATTCCTAGAGAACCATCATTCGCTTCCAATAGAACACATTCTAATGCTGTCAAATTGTAGGACACATCGAGTCATTTATGTAGCTAAGTTCTAGGGACCAAGATATCAATTTCTGTAGAATTATAAATCTTTCTGGTCTCTGGTCTTAATTTAATGGAAAACCTGAACTTTCAGTTTTGTTTCAATGAAAGATTTATAATTCTGCAGAAATTGATATCTTAGTCTCTAAAACTTAATTACATGAACGACTCGATGCGCCCCACAATCTGACGGTATCAGAAAGATTAAAGCATCTGTGTTATACTTGCAAAACACAATGCAACTATCCGTTAAGACACTGATACAATTAATCATCCAAAAGTACTTACTCATCCGATGTTGATTTTTTTGTAGCATTATATAAATATATTTGACTTTCATTCCATGGACATGATAAAATATACGAATTTGGTTCTAAACTAAAACAAAAATAGAAAAATAAAAATGATCTAACACTTAACAATTAGTCACAAACCTATATAAACCATATAATAAACTGTAAATCATTTTCAATGGTTTAAGCATACTGAAAAAGAATGTAACATAAAAACATATTTTCTCATTATAATATTCTCATACATACTCGATATCACATTCTTTCAAATGTTTTTCAATATCAAGATAGGAAAACTTTTCAATTTTCAATAATTGCTCAGTGAATACATTAATTCGACCTAAAACAGATAAAATATATGTAATCATAATATTTTATTTTTTCTCTAAATCACGTCTCTACCAAGTAAAATATGACATCCATTTCGGAGATAAGATTCTGTCCAAAGTTTCCGGTATTCTTGATCAGTTATTTGTTCATAACCAAATTGTGGTTGATATTCTAATTTTGGTATACACGTTTGACACTGCTGTTCTTGATCATTTTTTAGATAACCATGGTAGGTTGTCCGTATGAGAAGAGTTAAATTGCCCATTTGCCATAAAGAATATTCATAATTCAGAGATTGGGGAACTGTTAAACGGACAGTAGTTGTTACAGGAACTAAAAAGCAAAAATTAATTGAGTCACTGTTGAAGTACCTCCTTCTCTTTTTTCATCTTGTTGGCAAATGTGAAATGACAATTTGGTTGAGTTCAAATTCATATCAGAGATAGAACAACGAACAGGAAAATCGATATATTTTTATCCAGAGTTTTCTGACTTGTTCTTCTATGAGTTTTGTGAAAAACTAAGTTTTCATTGGAGTACATTATGCTCTTCTGAAAAACTTTTCTCGTTCGTTGCAATTTTTGTGCACAAAATTTTCTCACAGATATTTAAGAATACAAATTTTTCTTTTTATTTACGGAAAAATGGTGAAAACCCCTCAAGAAAAATTTAAATATAAAAAGAAATATTTGCATTCTTAAATATCTATGAGGAAACTTTGTGCACAAAAATTGCAACAAACGAGAAAAGTTTTCAGAAGAGCATAATGCACTTCAATGAAAACTTAGTTTTCCACAAAACTCATATAAGAACAAGTCAGAAAATTCAAGGATAAAAATATATCGATTTTCTTGTTCGGTCTCTGATATGAATTTGAACTCAATCAAACTGTCGTTTCATATTTGTCAACAAGGTTTTCTTTTTTTTTTTTATTTACCAGGTCCTGTCTCTTGTCTTTGTTGTTCGTATTCGGTGCTAAGAACAGGAATAGATTTAATAATACGCTGTTTTTCTTTTTTGAATTCTTTTTGTTGCTGTTCAACATCACCATCTAAAAGCAGAAAAAGTTTGATTAGTCGAGTATTTATCTTGTTTGAATATTTTATGTAAAATATTGCAAATGTAATTACATTATGAATAAGTATGAACGAAGTTCTCGTCTCGATTAAGATAATTGTTATCTCAAACAGATTGTATTTTAACATTCAAATGCTTACCAGTGCTTATCAACAATGTTGGTTCGTCTTCTTCCTCATCGTTTTCTGGTATTAATTCTTCTTTTTCTTCTTCGATTTCCTCATCCAAATTAAGTTTTTGTGGAAGATTAACTATTTTGGGCTCAGCAGGAATCTTAAATTCAGTTAATTGATGTTCTTTCATAGGTGTTGTAATATATTCAAATGGAATAAAATGTTGTTGTTTATCTTGCGTTGTACCCATTAAAAATGATCGAAATGAACGTTTGAAATATTTCATATTCAATTGACGTTTTGAATAAGATTTTTCTGGTAAGGGTTTTTCAAAAAATAAAACTTTATGTTTATTTGTTGTAGTTGATTGAAGATCAGTGTCAGATTTCAACTGAAATTCTCGAATTTTAAATAATAAACTTGATGAATTTTGAATAGATTTCATATCCGTCGTTGAAAATAGTTCAATTAACGCTTGAAACGAAGATTTTGATAAAACAATATCAACATGTTTTTGAGCCAATATCAATAATATATTTGGATCATCCATTAAACTCTAAATAAATAAAAATATTTCAACATTTCACACAGTAAAAGTAAATGTTTTTATCTAAAATGTTTACTACTCTCTCGAATCAATCCAATTTTAACATTCGTCTAATTTATTTCTATGAAAGAGGTCTATCCATTCATACTCATTTACTATTTATAAATGTAAAAGAAAAAATGCTTACTGTTAATCTTGTTGGCGTATCAGTTGATAAAAATCGTTTTGAAACCATTTTATCTCTATCATCACTGCATTTAAAAAACGTTTCGTTCAGAATTTCAGGTACAAATAGTAAAGGTAATGTGCCCTAAACACAATAAAAATAGAATAGCAGTTATACTAGCACATCATTAAAAGTATCTGCTAAACGTTTCGAAGTTAAACCTACTATTTGATAGTACATACAACTCTTAATATAGAAATAAATGCAAAATTGACTGGATTCATTAACTCATATGAATTGAGTGGAATTTTCATAAATTCTTGATAATATTGCGGGTATGATTTTAATCTTGTTATCTTCTTTTCTAACCAATGCTAAAAGAATATTAAAAAGAATAATCATATGTCAAAAAAAGAGATAAAAACAAAATAATTATATACCTGCATATATCTCATAATAGAATATTTCTGATAATCATAGTCTAATTTCGCTTTATTCATTGCATAGTCTTTAGCATTTTCGTTGAATAATCGATGTTCATTTAACAACAGACCATTCATACGCTAGAAAATAAAAAGTATGTTCTCACAAGCAACTGAAATCGCTTTGAACAGTAATATTTACTTTAATTGCTTTAGCAAATTCCGTCTTTTTTTTCATTTTCGCTTCAATATCTTCAACAAGTCCGTTTTGATCATAAAATACTTTTAAGCCCATTTTGTGTTGTTCTAAATCCAAGGATGAAATTTGATCGGTGAAAAATTGTATTTTAAATGGGTAGTATTTATTTATTGTACGATATTGAATGGAAGTATATAAACGGATTTGACGTGCTTTAGTAGGAGATTGATTCACATTTTCATCAAATCTACAACGATAAATAACATCGTTAGCTGTCTTTTATAATGTTCACAAGAAAGTGTTGTTATCATTTATTCTACGTACGATGATTCAGCAGTTTTATTTATTTCTTCATCTAATGGTTGCTTTCTTTTGTTATTGTTTTCAACTAATGATGTTTTCGTGACTTGTTTCTTAACATCTAGTTTTTGTGGTGATGGTTGTATGATAGAGTCGGTAGGTGCCTCTTCTGGCGTTGGCATTATGAAATCATCCGATGTTGTTAGATCTAAATCAGCTGAATAGAGAAAAAGTACAACTGTTGGTAATCGAAAGACATACCAGATAATCCTTGTCCTATTTGACGATAGAAAAATGAATTATTCATCCAGTCCTTTTGAATTCCGTCGGCAGCCTCAGACGAACTAAAACAAAAAATTAGCACTCAGTGATATTGAGAGGTAAGAGTTCACTCGAACTTATGGGTTTTAAGGAACTGAACTGAGATACACACTCAGATCTTTTAGTTCTCAAAGTGGCAGATCTAATAAGAAAAGTTGTTCAAATTTTATCCGCCAATGTGTCATACTTTAGTATGGATATCAAAGATAAGATAATGCATCAATGTACAGGACCATAGATCGATTTCTTACTACTACAAAGAAAAATTTGTTTTACAATCCAACTCCTATTTCCAGTGCTGTGAATATTAGAGTAAAACTGTGCTAAATAACAAAAACAAATCAATTTCATTTCTCGAAACCAAACGAAACAGATTCAGAAGCAAATTTTCTGTTTATACACTGCTATAAATAATGAACTGTACCAAATCAATTTGATTAGTTGATATTTAATATCAAAAGTGCACTTACATTTTTGCACTATTTTGATTCATAGTAGATGCACTTCTGAATAGTTGTAAAAGAGTTTCAAATTCTGTTGTACCCATTTGATTGTCTATATAATAATCGGAAATAAAACAAAAAAAAAAGAGATAAAATTGTGTCAAAATTTGTTAACATGAACAAATGAATGTAAAATTATTTTTCACTTCTCTGTTGGTTTTCCCCTAGCCATAAAGCTTTGCGTCCAAGACAGCTGTATTGACAAATTTAAAAACAGGAAAAAAAAGATGATTCCGATTCGTCAAACATGCAGTTACCAATTCGTCACAAAATTCTCAAAATTGTAATTGTTCAGACCAAGCAATACAACTGAATGTTTTTTACTGTTAAATTCTCAAAACTTATCATTCATAACATAGTTCACTCAATCGTATCAGAAAAATATCTTTTACCAGCAAAAGACCAAAATCAACCTAATGATAAACGCAATACAAACATGTTGACTATAGTATAGCACATTTTAGAAACTGAACGCTAGCCTTTTCAAAGACGTTTTTTGCTAGCCCCTAAATCAACAATTATTTTTTATGATTAGCGCGTGTCGTCTGGTCTGTGTTATTACATATGCATGTGTAATTGTATCTTGCAGATATTATTCTTTTTTGCATCTTTGATTAGTTTAAATTTTAAGCAAATAGAAAAACAATTCATCCACCCCTTTTCTGAGTATATTTATTGCTATATCCATCCGTTAACTGTGGATATATATAGCAATATAGCAGCCTCTGAGGTAAAGTTACATCAGAGATAGCAGAGCCAGTAGACTTAAGCTTCTATCGTCTGTCTACACAAAGAGGGACTGAAAAGGTTCTTGGGTTTGCCTGGGTGAGACAAAGTCGAGTTCAACTTCAACTTTCTGAAGATCGCAAAGCGATTCGCTCTTGCTAATATTCCTCATTTTAATGTCTGAATTTAGCATCTTCCAAAAATGTAGTTGGTTCTATTAATCTAAAGACATGATCCTAACAATTCACATTTATTTTCTTTATTTTTTAAATAAAATAACAGTCGTTCAACACGTGAAGGATGTCGAATTTGGTTTTCATTATTAAACGATCTATATTGTTATTCAATAAGCTGAAATAATACACCCCACTCAACTTCGAAGTTCAATAGCTTTTAATAACAGTGAAAAAGTTTATCTTCAGCCATTTTCACTTTGCAAGTCTCTGACTATCAGCATTCTCACCCAAATTGTTCTTCCTCATCATCTAGAGAATCCTCACCGATTTTCTAGAAAGTAGAAAATAATCCGACTTTTTGATTTTCGAAAAGCCCATATATAAAATCTCTGAGGATTTTCTATAAATAATTCCCAATAATGTAGAAAATCGACTCGATTATCGAATTTCCTGTAGGATACTTTTAATTCCGGTGATTCCCGCAGTTCGGATTGTCGACGGGATCCGCAGACCTGAATCCGCTCAATTCTTTCACTTCTCAATATCTGAATCCTGGAGGATCCGGAGATCAAGTCCGATATCCGGAACCAGTCGGATTCGTTAATTTCCCGTCACCACAAACCGACAGATCCTGTGGTGAGCACTTTATATTTTTTTCTTTCTTGTCTGTGCCCGTAATATATTCACCGTTTTGTTTCACGCCAGCAGTACTTTAAATATGACATTTCAGAAGATGAAAACCAAGAAAATTTAATATTCAAATT